GTCACCTAACTTGCTTTTTTTTTCAATTCAATTTTAATATTGTTATTAACTCTTCATCTAAAATTGGTATTATATGTTTTACCTAACACCTTATCCCATTACTATAAAAAAAAAATTAAAATAAAACATAATTCATACAGATAATCACTTCATATCTCTTTGTTATCAAGAAAATGTCCATTAGGTCATCCAACAAGTCCAAGAAAATGAATCAGTTGAAACATCATTCAATACATACAAATGTGGTTATTATCATTGTGAATACGAAAAATATCATTGTTTCATTCTTAACTCATCATACTTCTATTGTAGTAGACTATTTTCGTCTATGATGTTCGATTGTATTTTCCAATCTATGAAAAAAGATGAAAAAGACCAATGGGGAGACTTGGAATGATGTTGAGTAATTAATGCACTTAGAACAAACTCATAACGATATCAGTAATTAAAGCATGTAGAGATGCTCCCATATTAGAGATCCTAAAAATATAGGTTATTAATATTAATAAATAAATAAAATTATGGGAAAATGGATTTATGATAAAATTGTTTCAGAACAAAATCATATAAAAAGTATTATTGGAAATAAATATTAAAAAAAAAATCTTTTTGCTGGTTAAAAATCATTATATCCATTATAATTTTCCAAAATCCTAATAATTAAATCAATTATTATATGGTTATTTACTAATTAATGTAACACCTATTGCAATAATATAAGCTTTCAATAAATAAAATACAAAGACAAAAAAGTCTTTCAAATTATTTGAAAATAAAATGCAAAGAAAAATGTCTATGTCCTATTCTCCCAAAACCCCTAATAAATTTTCATTAATGGGATATCTCCATAAAAGTCCTGATATTTTTGGTAAATTTTTAATAAAATCCTAAAGTTTATTTTTTGAATAAAAAAGTCCTAACTTTTTCACCTTTTGAATAGAAAAACCCAAGAAACCGGCTAATTTATTCATTTTAGCCCTTTTTGACCTGTTCAGTAGGTCATGTGACCAAATTGTTAATCTTTCGAAAATAACGGGACTTTTTTGCAGATTTCGTCAAAAATTTTATATAATGTATAAACATATTTTTTTACATATCTATATCAAGTTTTACGTATTTGTGTATTTATTATGTTTTTATATGTATATATTTACGTATTTTTATGTATTTTAAATGTATAAATGTATTTTTTACTTATTTATATGTATTTTAAACAATTTTACATATTTTTTTATGTATTTTTATGTGTAATTTTTTATGTATTATGTATTTATATGTATTATGTATTTTTACGTATTTATGTATTTTTTAAGCTTTTTATATAGATGTTTATGTATTTTAAATGTATAAAAGTATTTTTTACGTATTTACATCTATTTTTTAGTATTTTACATATTTTTTATGTATTACATATTTATGTATACTTTTAAGTGTTTTATATAGATATTTTTGTATATTTATGTATTTTAAATGTATAGACATATTGTTTTACGTATTTATATGTATTTTTTTAACTATTTTACATATTTTTTGTGTTTTTTATGTATTATGTATTTATATGTATTTTTGTGTATTTATGTATTCTTTTAGTTTTCTTATATAGATTTTTATGTATTTTTATGTATATTAAATGTTTAATTGTATTATTTTTACGTGTTTATATATTTTTTACGTAAAAATAATACACTTTAACATTTAATGTACATAAAAGTACATAAACATCTATATAAGAAAACTAAAAGAATACATAAATACGCAAAAATATATATAAATACATAATACATAAAAAAACACATAAAAACACACAAAAAATATATGTAAAACTTAAAAAATACATATAAATACGTAAAACAATACGTTTATACATTTAAAATACATAAATATACAAAAACATTTATATAAAAAACTTTAAAAAAATATATAAATACTTAATACATAAAAGATATGTAAAATACTTAAAAATAGATATAAATACGTAAAAACTACGTTTATACACTTAAAATACATAAACATCTATATAAAAAGCTTTAAAAAATACATAAATACGTAAAAAAAATATATAAAAATACATATAAATACATAATATATAAAAAAAATAACACATAAAAATACATAAAAAATATGTAAAATGGTTAAAAAAAATACATATAAATAAGTAAAAAATACATTTATACATTTAAAATACATAAAAATACATAAATATATACTTATAAAAATATAAAAAATACAAAAATACGTAAAAATAGATATAGATATGTAAAAAATATGTTTATACATTATATAAAAATTTTGATGAAATCTGCAAAAAAATCCCTTTATTTTCGAAAAATTAACAATTTGGTCCCATGACCTGCTGAACAGGTCAAAAAAAACTAAAGTGAATAAATTAACCGGTTTCTTGGGCTTTTCTATTCAAAATGTGAAAAAGTCATTACTTTTTTATTCAAAAAATAAAATTAGAACTTTATTAAAAATTTGCCCAAAACATCGGAACTTTTCTGAAGATATCCCTTTCACTAATCGACTATGAAACATCATAGCGATTATATTATCAATAGCACCTCTAACCAATATCCTACCACTAACCAACATCTATAAAAGCATACATTGAAATACCCAATAATCACTTTGTTTTCCACCTTCTTGGTGTACTCCAACAACTTGCTTCACCGCAATCTTGAAGTTGTATATAAGTGTAGGTAGCTCACTCATTTGACCCAATAATAAATCTTTTCCAAGAAAATTGGTAACCCCTTCTTAAAAGCTTCAAATTCATTTTGCAAAGTGGCATATAACATAGGAGTAGGGGAGTGGTGTTCATCCATATCATAGTCATATTGTATTTGCTGCCATATATATGACCTCATTTTTGCCACACCATTTCAATTTCTTGTCATTTGAGGGGGTTTTCCAAACAATATATTTTTTAATTATAATTTAAAACAATTTAATTAATATAAAACTTATATTTTCATCAAACTAAAAAGACAATTACATGATAATAAAAGATAAGACACTTGAAATTAAAAAAATAAATGAATAATAAAAAAAACATGAAACATAAAAACAATTCAATTTACATATCGACATCATTTTGCACACCACTTGACAACTTGTCAATGCGCTCTACATACTAAAAAAGTTTGTTTTTTTTCTTCATGGAAAATTGCAAGAGCATTGTTTAGCACCCCACATCTCACTTTACCAAGCACAACGCCAAACTCTACCACCACTTGTTCGTGGGTGTAGATTTGATCTTTGTTTCGGTAACAACCTTGACTCATTTTGTTGAGGAACGACTGGGTGATTTTGTTTCAAGAAAAATGATACACTTTCGTTCACGCTGGTCCTCAGGTCCTCTGATACATGATACATTGATCCATGCATGGGCATATGTTTAACATTTACAATTGGAAAATGCATGAAAGATAGTGATGGCTGATTTCGATTGGAAAATTAAAATGATTTATAGGTTTAACATTTACGATCACTGCTTTCATAATACTAGATAACCATAGAATAATCATGTTATCGTTAGGACAGTTTGTTTACGAATCATTCTTTGTAATCGTCTTTTGACCATTCAGTCATATTACATACACATACACTCACAAAAAGAGTTTGATTAACGTCAACTCGCCAACTTCGAAGAGTCGGAATAATGACTATTGAAATGTGTTTCAAGTTGGAATAAAAGTGGTGCTTACATGCACTGCTTCTTGATTGTGTTTATGAATTTAATAATTGGGCTTTTTTATTCACATAATATTTTGGTATTACGGCTTTTTTTTATAACTAAGAAATTTATGTATTTATATGTTAGATATATAAATATAATCATGGTCACCTAAATTTTTTGGGCCATAAGAACCCACCTAAACTCCTAAGGGCCAGTCCTGTTTTGGAGAGATTATATTGGTGGATATCATAGGAATCTTGTTTGGTTGCCTTCTCAAAGTTTCCATTCATTCGAGAGTTTTATTACTTGAATAAGGATATGAGTTTGATTATTTAAGATCTTACGGGTAATGGAATGAGTTTGGATCAAATTTTAAAATTTGGTAAAAATGTTTGGATCAAGGTTGATTCATTCAAAACATGTTCCATTGTCAAATCTAAGATAAAATCATAAAAGTTTCTTTTTATGATTTAACCATAAAACATAATTATTTGACTCGTGTGATTTCCTAATTCTTTTCACCATTGTTGATGTAAATGAAACGGAAATGTTAGATTTTATATGAGAATAAATATCATCTTAACTCGAATTTTCTTTATACCGTATTAATCCGAGACAGTCCTACCAATAGATAAGATAACCTTGGTCCAAAATTGAAACTTAAAGATTACTTTTCTAAATTCATTAACAACCTTTTACAAAAATTGACATTCTTAAGAAAATAATCAATTTCCATAGCAACATGTATTGTTAAACGTGACAAGTTTTTATGTCGACATAGGGTTATTAAAATTAATTATCTTAAAAAATAAAACAAAGTTTCTTTATCTTAAAAAATAAAACCAAGTTTCTTTAATAACCTTTTACAAAAATTGACGTTTTTAAGAAAATAATCAATTTCCATAGCAAAATGTATTGTTAAACGTGACAAGTTTTTATGTCGACACAGGGTTATTAAAATTAATTATCTTATAAAATAAAACCAAGTTTCTTTAACAACCTTTTACAAAAAGTGACGTTTTAAGAAAATAATCAATTTCTATAGCAACATGTATTGTTAAACGTGACAAGTTTTCATGTCGACACAGGGTTATTAAAATTAATTATCTTAAAAAACAAAACCAAGTATCTTTAACAACCTTTTACAAAAAGTGACGTTAATAAGAATAAGAAAATAATCAATTTCCATAGCAACATGTATTGTTAAACGTGACAAGTTTTTATGTCGACACAGGTTATTAACATTAACTATCATGATTGATGAAATCTAAAATTTCTTTCCATCAATTCTCTAACTTAAGTATTTTTTTTTCCATCCACCATGAATTATGTTTTGAATATGTTCCCAAACCCACCAAAAAAAATGGAGCATCTTTCTATAAAATACCAAATATACGAACATGAATGAAGAAACTACTCTAAAATATATTAAATAATTATGCAAAATTATAATGAACAAGAGATGCCAGAAATTTCCATGACCCAAATCAACACCACATTGCAAGTCCAATGTTGTTTGCTTTGTAAAACCTCATCCTTATGTACTATGACCATGCTACTATTCAAATGAAGTCTTGACTATTGGCATTTCCAAATTCTAACAAACCCTACCCAATTGCTGTTACAGGTTCTATTAAGTTTAAAGGCATATGAATATCCCTTAAATTAGATTTTGGACTTAAAAGTCAAAAGGTCAGCAAAATCATTAGTAATATAACAAAAATAGATCGTTGCTAAATGCTTCTTTTCACTAATTATTATTACCGAAAAAAATTCCAACTTTGTTTCTAGTCCAGGTTTATTTTATGTTACAAAATTATGTCAACAACATGCGAATCACTCACAAGATTCATAGACTCGGCTCTTTAGAATGTACCATTTTGGCACGGGCACGGGGTACCTCATTGATTTGACTTTGGTCAACATAAGCTTGAGGTGGGCCCGTGCACGTGCCATGGTCCATGGTCCCCCATTTGATTTGTGTCAAAGGGTGTGTATATTCCTTTCCAAGTTGACATTTGTATGATTATGAATAGTCTGGGATACCATTTGATCTAGATGAGTATTCTGTTACCAACTTATAAAACATTGATGATTTATCTTCTAATAGCCGGATTGGCGAATCAAACTCTGCAACTTGCCCTATAAAAAAGGAAAAACCAATATCAATTACAAAATCTTACATCAACATTTTAAAAAAAGCAACTTTTTTAAAAGCATAAAAGACAGAAAAACGCATGATGGAAATGGAAATGAACATACCATCGCTAAGAACAAGGACAAGATCACTATCGATTACAGTGGGGATGCGATGAGCAATTGTACAAACAGTACAGTCTTTAAATTCCATTCGGATGATTTTCTGTATTAAATTATCAGTTGCTGAATCCACAGAAGCAGTTGCTTCATCAAGCACCAGGATGCGTGCCTGTTTTAGCAAAGCCCTCCCCAGTGACACAAGCTGTCTCTGACCCACACTCCAATTATCACCATTTTCAAGAACTGCAACAATTTCATCACCACATACCAATTACCAAACATTCCTCCTTTTATTTTTTATTTTTTTTTTGGTACAAAATAAATAAATACCTGGTGCATCAAGCTTTTGCTCCTTCTCACGAACCGTATCTCCAAGTTGAGATTTATCAAGTGCCTGTTCATATAACAAAATAATAAAAATATTACATGATGCCATTACAAACAACTAAATTAACATGTTCAACTTGAAGGTGAAAGTAGATATCTATGATATATATCTAACCTCCCAAACTTCTTGATCTGTGTGTTCTTCAAGGGGATCAAGGTTACCCCTAATGGTGCCTTCAAACAAGGTAGGATCTTGTGGTATGATACTAAGTCTGCCTCGTAGATCATGAAGGCCAATAGTGGAAATATCAATATTATCGATAATAATTCTCCCGCTTTCTGGTTCAATCAGTCGAAATAGCGCCTGAATCAAAGTTGATTTACCGCTTCCCGTACGTCCAACGATCCCGATCTTTTTCCCTCCCGGGAATTCGCATGTCACTCCCCGCAGCACCACTGGCAAACTCTCCTTGTAACGGACCTAAAAATTACAAAATTACCCTTTAAAACCATATCAAAATAAAAAATAAAAAAAAAAGTTCGTTTTTTTCTATTTATTTAGCATGCCAATAACTGTAAAAAAAATACCTTCAAATCTATGATTTCAATTTTTCCTTCGACAGGCCATGAGGGCGGGGGACGGTTTCCTTCAATGATTGGGGGAGCTTCACTTGGAATGTGGCAATATTGATGAATCCTTTCAATGGAAATAATCTTGTTTTCAAGCTTGCAAAAGCTAAGTATCCACCTTGATAAACGTGCATTCAATTGAAGCCCATAAGTCACAGCCAACCCAGCCATACCTGATTAACAAGTAAACATGAAATAAGAACAAGTTGCACTTGCACATCAATGATCAAACACAACAAGAATTATGGAAATGGAAGGAAGAACTTACTGGGATCTATAGCTTTACGTGGAAAACTGACTAACAAAACAAGACAGAAAGCAAATACAAATGTTGAAATCAACTCCATGCGTAAGCAAAGCCATTCAATAGCTGCAATACTACAGAAGAAGGGGCGAGCAAAGCAGTCAAGAAGATAAAGATTCCTCTTCATGAACCTTTTTTCTTGTCCAAAACCCCGAATTGTGGCTGCTCCAGCAATCGATTCTCCAAAAAGATTAATAATTGGAGATTTCTGTATGCTAACAATCCTCACCAACTCCCTCGATGAAGCCATGTAATACTTCTGCATCCATAAGCAAGCAATTGCCATTGGGACAATTAGAAGCAACACTTGCCATGTCACCTGAGTCATCACCCCGACTATACCAAGAAGCTGGATTGTTGTTGAAGCAAATCCACCAAGTCTGAAGGGAATGTCAAGATCCACAACGCTTTGATCAACAGACACCTGAAAATTACATAAAACATTATTAACCAATGAAAGAAAACCGAAAATTAAATCGATAAATCATGATTCATTTGTACCCGATTTAGTATACGTCCAGCTGGAGTTGAGTCAAAGAATGACATGGGTGCCCTGAACACATTCGTAAGCATTTTCATAAACAGTTTCTGTGCAGCAGCTAGACCGAATGTAGCTACTAAAACAGCCCTAACAAATATGAACCAGGAGCTCCCAAAAGCAAGGGCCATATAAACCGCGATAAGGACCAAATTACTAACCCTAGCTGTGTCCCCTTCTGTTTGGGGATTAGCCCAAGCCATCCACCAGTTACTAGCAATCTGAAGGACTTGAAATAGAGTTTGCGCAATGATGATAAGTGGGATTAATAAGCCTTTGTAGGCTGCAGCCATATACGAGAGGTAAATTTTCATGCTGATTTTCCCTCGTTCTCTTTCCTCTTCTTGAACCAGTTGTTTTTTTCGTGAACGTTTTGCTTTCTTTTTTTCTTTGATGGCTTTTTTGTCTGAAGCGGATGTGCTTTCGTTTGGAACCATTGCTGTAGTAGTGTCTATGCTGCTTACAACTGACTCACAGTTCTTAATCAAACCATGGTTATCATCTGACTCATCGTCTGAGTGATTGTAGATATCCATAGCTTCAATTGCTTCCTGGTGGGCTGAAACCAATGTGTTAAAATCGGTTCCTGCTTGCAGAAGTTCATCGTATTTTCCAGCCTGAATGATTTGACCTTCTTTAAGAACCTGCAAATGTATACCATCAAAATCAAATCATCATTCAAACAAAAGATTAGCCTGAATATTTATGATGTAACCAAGAATATTACAAACAAGTATTATGCATTTCACCCCATGAAAACAGTTAACGCTATATAGTTTATTCCTCTTTGATTGAACGTTCATGGTTTTGAGTTGCAGAAACAAACCCTAAGGTGAAAAATGCAAGGGGAAACATTTGTATAAAGGTGACTAGGGTTAGCCATTTTCATCTACATTTCTTAACCCTCAAGATCCACATGCATAGTTACCAAATGCATTAAAGATAGAAAAAGAAGAAGGTTTTACCAGAATCAAGTCAGCAGCTGGCAGAAATTCAATTTGGTGAGTCACAAAAACTACTGTTTTAGTAGCTAATGCTGTCAGTATGTACTCCTGGAAAACCAAATTCCAGTGTTAGATCACTCTCAAAACTTTGAATAACAACATATAGACTGTTGATACTCTTTTTAATGATTCAAACCTTGAAAAGTTCTGAACCCGTGTGTGCATCAACAGCACTGAATGGATCATCAAGTAGATAAATGTCAGCATCTTGATAAAGCGCCCTTGCTAGCTGCACCCTTTGTTTCTGACCACCACTCAAGTTTATACCTCGATCACCAATGATGGTTTGATCTCCATGTGAGAAAAGCTCCAAATCTTTTTTCAATGAACACGCATGAAGTACCCTCTTGTACTTGACCTTATCCATTGGATTACCAAATAACACATTTTCTTCTATATTTCCTGATTGTATCCATGCTGACTGAGATACATAAGCTGCAGATCCACATATTCTAACCTGAATCAAAACAGAAAAAACCACAAAGAAAGATGTTAATATTAATACGAATGCAAAAAATACTTCAACTTTAAGAATATACAAAGTTGGGAGGGACTTACTTCACCGGTTGTTTTTGGGATTTCACCAAGAATACAAGAAAGAAAGCTTGATTTCCCAGACCCAACACTGCCACAAACCGCCACACGCATCCCTCTCTCCACCTTCATCTGAATACCAGACAATGTGGGCCTTGGAGAAGATGAGTCCCACTGGAATTCACCATCCTTGATTTCTATTGCCACATTTGACATGCCTCGTTGCAATACAATTGTTGCATCTTCTTGTAACTCTTCCTCCTGTAAAAACCCTGTGATTCTATCAAGCGAGACTTTCGTCTGAGCCATCATGGAAACCAAATCAGGGAAATTTCTAAGAGGTTCTTGAAGAATCCGGAATGTGGCTAAAGCTGAAAGAACACCACCAGCTGTAAGCTGTCCACCAATCAAGATTGATGTTCCAAAAGTAACCGCAGCTACAAAGATAGGTGAGCTCCAGAAAAAGAAAGTGATAAAAGCCTGAGAATATAAAGCCTTCTTGAGCCACTTAAACTCAACACTTCGCATTTCTTCCAGCCTCACCTTATACCTATCTTCCCATGCTTGTGATTTCAGAATCCTCATGTTTCTAAGGCATTCGGATGTTTTCCTCATTCTGTCATCTTTTGCAGCCATTAATTTATCTTGGTAGAGCTCTTGGACTTGTGCTAGAGGGATGGTTATAACTATAGATAAGATGGTTGCAATTAAGGTTGCAATACAGGCAATACCAACACTCTTGTAAAGAATTGCAAGGGCAAGAATGATCTGCATTGGTAACATCCATATGTCATGGAGATACCACGCATAATCACCTACCCTTTGTACATCAACAGCCATGTAATTTACGATTTCACCACTGGTGTGACTTTGCCTAGCTGAACTTGAAAGCCTGAGTCCCTTTCTGTAAACCATGGCTGTGAGAGCTGATCTCACATGCATTCCCAAAATATCAACACCAAGGTACCACTGGCGTGTGGTTAAAGTTTCAATCAGTTTTGCTACAAAGAAGACACCAGCAAGGATATACCCTTCGTGAGGGTAATGCTCAATTCCACCCAAGTAATCAACAAAATCGGATATCATATAAGGGCCTACGTATGAGACAAGTGTGTATAACCCTGCAAAAATCGCGTTCTTGGCAGCTTCTTTCCAGAATGATCGAAGAAGAGCCCAAGCTAATGAAGCTTGATTTTCAGCCTTTAAACGTTCCCAATTTATGTTCAAGATCTTGTAATTGAACTTAGAGCGATCTTCAGGAGCAAGAAGTGGGATGTCTCTAAGCTCGAGTGGCCTCTTTACACCAATCGAAAGAAGATTATTTAGCCATGATAATGTGGCTAAACTGAAGATACCAGCCTCACTATATGGTGTCACTTTCAGACACCCTGCATCTTCTTCAACCAGCAATGGTTCTTGAAGACCCGAACCTCTAATGATGTGTATGCCAGTAGCGCCTCTCAGACCAAGAAGAAACAGGAATCCCAAAGCTGGGCTTGCTGCAAGATTAGCTAGAAGATGGGAGTTTTTCAAGCGTTCAAGCCCTTCAATTGCAAATTCTTTCCCATCAAGATAAAGGGTAAGTAAACTGATCATAAAAGAGGTAACCCACCATACCCTTATAAGTAATGGAAGTCTTTCAAGGCTCTTAACCTTACAACTAAGTGTTGAAAAACTCAAAACGAACCAAGCGAAAAACTGTGATGCGGGCAAGAACAGAGGTTCCAAGCTCACACCCTTTTCCCCTTGTGCAGATTTTGTAATTAAACAAACACCATCATAACATAAAACCACAGCCTGTAGAAGGAGAACATAAAAGCAACAACAGACTGATGCTTTATAAACTTTACCGATTTCGACATTGAGAAATTGAGTTTCTACTGCAGAAACCCTACTCCCAATCTCATCAGCTTCCTCCTTTGTAACTCTAGTGTGCCAAGTATAAACCGCAATCTTCCTCACCAATACAATCAGAAGAGATAAAACCACCAACGCCAAATTGAACACGGTTGCACTGTTCTCTAAGACCTTCAAATCCTTGTCAGAACCCATGAGTTTCGTAGGAATCATCAATTGAAATTGCAATTGGAATCAAAACGATGATACAGTGAGTAGTTTAATAGTGAGATAGCTTTCAAATCGTGGCAAGAGCATTTTACCATGTGGCGCTGATTCTTACAGATGGGGGTTTTGTAAAGAAAGAGACCAAAGCAATAGCAGGAAATTAGCAAATGAAGACAAACAACACCCTCATCCTCTATGAACAACAAAACCTTCAAATCTCTCTCTCCTCTCAGCTTGTTTGTATTCTTCCTCTCCTCTGCGTGATTATCTCTATATAGACAGGCAGACACAAACAAACACAAGAGAGAGAGGAAGAGAGAGAATTCTGAATTTAAAAGATTTAAATTGATCAAAACCCTAACAGAAAAATACAAAAAACCGACTTTCTGTGGGCTTTCCGATTGTCAAATACAAAAGAGAGTGTGTTTATACTTTTATAATGGAAAGCAGCTCACACTCTCATCTCACTCCAGACCAGACCTCAACGGAGCCGGCACCGGAGCAATTAATAGAGAGGTACAACACAGGGACTGATTCTGATTTGACGACCGGTGTTGAGTGAAGATATCAAAGAAGTGTGAAAAACAGCAGATCATGAAGTGGGGATATAATAATAGGATCAAGTGGGTTGAAGAATCGAAATGTGAATTGAAGTTTTACTGAAAATGAGAATATTACCGACGTATATAAATTGAGTCCAATGGGGGATATTGCGAATCATAATCAGCAGCTTTTACATTTTTAGGGCATAAAGAAAGAAAGGGAAGAAAGAGTGTTATTTTCAATTGGACGGTGTTCGTTGATGGATCCTTGCTGTATCTCCACTCACTGTAACTAAAATACATACATCCACATTCCACATTCCACATTCCTTATTTGACTTCCTTAAAACCCCCATACTTTACCTTCCTTCATTAACACAGCACACAATGATAGTAATATTTTATCTGTAATCTTAATACAACTTTTGAATATAACATTTTTATTTGTAACTTTTCTTATAAATTTTGTTCTTTTTTTCATAACGGTTGATTTGAAACAATTAAGTAATAATAATGTTTTCATCTATGATTTTTTATTATTTTTTTAACGCTCAAATATAATTTACTTCTAGCTATTTCTAATTCCACCTTATGCCTCATACGAGACTTACCTTCAATCTTAACAAAAGAAAAAAATATATATTGATCTCTTTAATATTTTTTATTATTATTATCATTATTCGAGACATTTTGCATATGAGATGAATTTTTGTATGGAGTTTATTTCGACTTAGCATGTCCTATCTTTTTATTTATTTTTTTTGCTATCTCTCGTCTTTATGTATATTAATCGGTTATGATGTCAATTGATGATATGTCGATTGTTTCTAGTGGTGGGATAATTAATAATTATAAGTTAGTTGGTTATTCATATATTTGGTTCAATAAGATATTATATACTTTTCTGTCGAGGACTTGGGTTCTTTCCAAAAAAAGATATTATATACTTTAACGAAATATACAACACTCAGAAAAATATGTGGTTCAAAATTGCTTTTGAAGATAATCAAATTAAAAAGAAAAAAGGAACAAAAAGAAAAACAGAAATGTGTTGTGTGTTTTATTGATAGAAAATAAATGAAATTTAATTTAATTTTTCTATATATAATTTGGTGACGGTTATTAAAATTGTCAAAATAGTGTAAAGGCTCTTATAGAAGTTATTTTTATAGTTTTTTTACTATTTAAAATACTTTGATACAATCATTATCATTTTAGTATATCATCTTTGAAGCTTTAGCCAACCATTTATTTTTTCCTAACCATTTGATCGTCTATTTTATTTATATATTTTATCCCCTTTTTTAATAATAATTTGTTTCCCTCTTAATAGTAATACAAATCTAATTATTAATTATTTTTGACTAGGCCATTTATTTTATTTTATATGTAAAATAAAAAATTATATATATATAGAGTAAATTACACGAATGGTCCTTATGGTTTAGGGTAATTTATGCGTTTGGTCCCTAACTTATTTTTTTAACTTGGAAGGTCCCTACTGTTTGTTTTTGTTACGCGCTTGGTCTCTGTCTTACCTAAAAAGACTATTTTGCCCTTGATTTTTTTAAATAAACACACCCCCAACTCCACCTCTCACCTTACCTTACCTACCCCACCATTTTTTCATATTTAAATAATGGTCGTTTTAGGTAAGACAGGGACCAAACGCATAACAAAAACAAACATTAGGGACCAAGTGTGTAACAAAAACAAATAATAGGGACCTTCCGAGTTAAAAAAATAAGTTAGGGACCAAACGCGCAAAGTACCCCAAACCATAGGGATCATTCGTGTAATTTACTCATATATATATATATAATCTATTAAAGACACTGAAGTCAACATAATCAAATAAACATTACAATCATATAATAAATTTATTGTCCTTTATTTTTAAAACTATATATCATATTAAAATGAAATTAACATCAAGTATGATTTTTACTTAAAAATCAACAAATTAAAGATAATATGTTTGAAAAAATTAGATAGATAGAGTTTATTTTCTTGATGTAATTGTTTTTGTTTAGCTTAGCTCCTTAATAGCTTAATAAAATATCTTTGTTCTAATTTTTTTTCCACGTAGTCTTATATTAACTTTATTTAATAAAATTATACCACAAAAGTCTTATACAATACAGTAACATTTCATCTTTTATTTAATAAAATTAACTCAAACAAAGAACAAATCAAAATTCCAAACAATTTATGTCAACCAAATAAATCATAAATTCTAATCTCTTTGAAATTTTATTCATTTAAATTTTAGTTCTGTAAAATTCCAACTTTAAAAGTATTAAGTGTATCAAATGCCCTCTTAAAATATCCCAGCAACCAAAATGCCCCATCATTCTTCTTGAAACGTACAACTATTAAATTATTATATGCTGTAATAATATATTTGACTATAAATTAAATTCATAAGATACTTTTGTGTATGACATATTTTAGAACTTGTAAACTTGAATCAATAGATTGTAAGATTTGAACATTGATCACTTCATTGTAAAATATTTTAATTCCGAATGATCAGTATCATAGATTCATATCATCTTGATCTATAAAAGAAATTGCATGTTTATCTAATAAGAGAAATCAGCATCATAGATTTATTTATGATAATGCTAATAATAGTAAATATATTTTTTTTATCATTGTTTGTTAATATTTAACTAGGGTTTGGAACGTCCGCGCGATGCTGCGGAATTCCTAGTATATAGGAGGCGGACGGAAATAAGACTTAAAAGTGTGTTTCGAAAAAGGATTATTGAAAATGTATGTCAATGGTCAAAATATAATAAATGAGTAAATCGTAATGTATAAAATATTAATAATTTAATTTTAAAATTATAAGGGTGAAAATTGTTAAATAAAAATTAATTGAAGGTGAAAAGTGTAAATATAAAAAAAATTTATGACCAGAATTTAAATGACTATTAACAAAAAGAATGTTGTTTTACCTTTAATATTCAATGCTTGATAATATATAACATGATTTGCTTTTAGTAAATTTGGATTTGGAATTAAAAAAAAGAAATATGTAACGTGGCAAGATCATAGACTAAATAAAGGACAGCATAGCAGAATGGACGGATAAAAAAGAAAGTTGAAATGAATAGTAAAATGCCTCACAAACCAATTTTGGTAATTAATATATATATATAATGGTGGTTGAAAAGTAAATTTAAAAATGACAATTTGCCAATAGTATTTTTTTAGAACGACAAGTTAGGATATAAATGGGATGGAAATCGTGATTATCTTGTTAAAAACATCTTATTAAACACTTTGTTAGCCAAATAGAGTAACTCTAACTTGTTTGCTGATATTAGATGCATTTCTATCAACGAATCAACCATTAATATGTTATTGTTATTGCAGTTATTCTATGATTTGATATATACAATATATTGTTAATTTTTTAGTAAAAAAATTATCATGTTAAAAAAATTATAAGTGGAGGTTTATGATATATATATATATATATATATATATATATATATATATATATATATATATATATATATATATATATATATATATATATATATATAGAGAGAGAGAGAGAGAGAGAGATAGTTATGACAGAAGTATACAATCAACAAAACCAATAGAACTAAAACAAATGAAATTCAAATATATGTAATATACAAGAATCAGTTTACAGAAAACATATTTGAATATAGACCACACAAAAAATATAATCACGAAATTGTACAGATTGAAGTCTGCTTCTGCAGTGTCCTAAGGCAAAAATTTCCTTGGAATAGTCTGTCTTAAGGATACAACAACCAATTCAAGAACATATCTTGAATCTGTCGAAATTTACCATGATCCTTTTTTATAAAGAACGATTTTTTGAGAGAAAATGTGTGTGTGTTTATTGGCCACCAAATTCTATCTCAAATGCTTCATTTATAGGCTTCTAAAAGTGGTTGTAAAACCACCAACCGAAATTAACTGCTAATTCTTCAAATCTTCATAATTTTCACAAAGAACACCAAGAACAATCTTCAAATCTTCAAGCTAGCTGAAAACACCTTGGACCGAGAACACATTTAAGACCGAGAACACCTTAGAACCGAGAACCTGGATCTCGGTTGAGGAATTAGGACCAAAAATAGGGGTGAGCATGGTGCGGTTTGGTGCGGTTTTCAAACCAAACCGAACCGCAAACCGCATGGTGCGGTTTTTGCATTCTTAAAACCGTTGGGTGCGGTTTTGCAATGGTTCGGTTTTTCGGTTTTTAAATGCGGTTTCGGTTTGTATCGGTGCGGTTTCGGTTTTTAAACCGTGTTAAGAATTTGGTGCAGTTTTTTTTATGTTTTTTGGTGCGGTTTTTTAAAACTGTAAGAACTGAAAACCATGTGCATATAAGCTTGTATTGTGCTGTTTTTTTAATACATTAATTTTCAGCTCAAAATAAAATTACATAACCAAAAATTGTAAGTCGCTTAAAATACAACTTGTGACCACTCTCACAAACTAATTAATAATTGAAGGTTGGTTGATTTTGATTTAATTTGTTACAAGCTTATTACATGTAATCGATTAGTACGTTTGGCTAACAATAGAACGTTTCTGTTGCACCTCATATAGTCTTATACAAACACAAAATAAACATATAATAAATATATTATTGTTTATAACTATTTTAAATAGCATGTATATAATATATATTGATTGATTTATTAGTATACACGCTTGCGGTGCGGTTCGGTTTTGGTGGACCGGTTTTTAGGATAGAAACCGCACCGCACCGTTGACCTTTGGTTTTTGCAAAAATTAAATCTACACCGTTGGTTTTTGCATCGGTTTCGGTTTTTCGGTTGCGGTTTATTACGGTTTTGTCGATTTTTCTTTAGTCGGTTCGGTTTTTGCTCACCCCTAACCAAAATCAAGGATTTCGGTAGAGCTTTTACCAAAAACCCTCCTCAACACTTCAATACAATTTTCGGTAATTCCTTCAAGAAATTCCATGCATAAATCAAGTTTTGTCTAACACTTTAATTCATTATTTTGCTAATTTAAATATGATTACGTGCTTAAATAATATTAGGATATTGTTCATTCCACCGCCGCTAGCCCAAGGGTCATCTTTTCAGTCTCGCTATTCAACTCGAACACGTAAAAGATGTGAGTTCATACCCCTACATTTTCACTATTTTTAATGTTTTAGTGGGGAATACAAGTAAAACACAAGGACTCATGTGTTAACTTTCGAATGATTTCAAAACCTTTTTGCAGTTGATTTAAATTGATTTACCACTACAATTTTTAAGAATATATTTATGTATATTTTAACCATTTTGTAACATGTCGAGCAAAATGGTACTTTTCACTACTTCATACACACAGTTGAATTGCAAAGGTTTTCAATGCATTATAGAACATTA